TTAACACAGAAGAAATCTATTAGTAGCTAATTATGTGAAATGTGAAGCTAAAAGCCAATAACATCATGATCACAAATACCGCAGTTCAATTCAGGCGTGGTCTCTGAGATGACATCTCATCTGATACTTTCAGAGCATCCAGAGAAAAAAGATTAGAAAATGTGCTTTCAGCAGACAGAGTGGAGGCACTGTGGGAGGGAGGGGAGTGGCTTTTTGCTTTTATACATGAATAACCCTTGCTAACCTAGCACCACTGCATGTCGATTGGTTCACTTTGTTTTTTTTTTTTTTTTGGCACTGCTGGGGATTAAATCAACAGTTTCACATTCACACATGCTAGGCAAGTGCTCCACTTACTGAGAAACACCCTGAGCTCCCTTGAAATAAATTTTGATAAATTTATTCTGATATAAAATGGTACCAATGATCCTACTTATTTAAACTTCCCCTTCAAAAACAGTCTTGTGTATTATTGTATTACTGCTTATAGGAAAGCAAATTAACTTTACAAATTTAAATATGCAGTCAATAGGCCCCCTTCTATAATTATTACTCAGTAGCCACAGATTCCTCACAATAACCAAAATATCATATTTAAATGTCCTTAAAATGGGAGATTCTAAGAAATTGGAGCTCTGGTGCATTGCTGGTGGCAACATTAAATGGTGCAACTCCTATGGAAATTGGTATGCATTCTTCAAACAATTAAACAGAGAGATGACTTAAGACCTAGCAATTCCATTTCTGGGTGAATATCTGGAAGAAGTAAAGGAGAGGACTTGAACAGATATTTGCTCACCCAAGATCCTAGCAGCATTATTCACAATGGCCAAAAGGTATGGAAGCAACTTGAGAGTCCATTGATGGATGAATGAACAAACAAAATATGGTACCAGAATATCTATTAGTTTGCAAGGGTTGCCATAGCAAAATGCCACAGACAGGGTGGCTTAAACAACAGAAATTTATTTTCTCATTTTGTGGAGGCTGAAAGTCCAAGATCAAAGTGTTGTCAGAAATGGTGTCTTTTAAGTCCTCTCTGCTGGCTTGTAGAAGGCCACCTTCTTGCTGGGTTCTCACACAGCCTTTCCTCTGTGCATGTACAGATAGAGAAAGCCCCGGTGTCCCCTCATCTTTTTAGGGACACCAGTTCTAACAGATTAAGGTCCCATCCTTGTTACCTCATTTAACATCAATTACTCATAAAAGTCCAAGTACAGTCACATTGGAGGCTAGAGTTTCAACATAAGAATTTTGGTCAGGGAAGAGGCGGGGAATTCAGTCCATAACAATAGGCAATGGAATTAGACTTAAAAAGGAAGAAAATTCTGACACATGCTATGATGTGGATGAACCTTCAGCACATAATACTAAGTAAAATAAGCCAGTCCCCAAAGGATTCCATTTATGTGAAGTTCTTAGAGTTCTCAAATTCACTGAGAAAGAAAGTAGAATGGTGATTGCCAGAAGTCGGCAGGAGGGAAAAGTGGAGAATTAGTGTTTAATGGGTGCAGAGCTTCAGTCCTGCAAGACAAAAAAGTTCTGGAGATGGATGATGTTGATGGCTACACAACAATGAGAATGTCCTTAATGCCATATCTGTACCCTTGAAAAGGGTGAATTGTGTGTTAGGTTTGCTTTACCACAATTTTCAACAAATGAGTAAAACACTCTCAGATTATATTTAGTGTGTGACCCCACAGAGCACTCATTCTCAGTGGATCTATTTCTCCTAAAGCAAAAGGGAACACCCACTCTAACCATGTTGCCATGTTGTGCCTTCAGGCTACAACCACCAGCCTGAGCCCCTGGTTTATGCTTTTATCGTGTTGTCTTTTCAAAGGCATTTGATGGGTATTTCATCTTTTGCCTTTCCATACAATCTTAAATTTTTGGTGTGAATTGCAGCTTCTTTTTTTCCCATGTATCATCACAGTGATGATAACTAAATTATAAATTTACTGAATTAAGGAAAATCAGTTTGGGGACTTCCAAGTCCTGAAAGAATGTAAATGATTTAACCATATTGTCAGATGTTAATTGACTCTAAAAAAGCAGAAGTGGAAAGTCCCAGGCTGATTATGTCTTCTGTTTCTTTCCCTTCCTTGACTAATGTTCAAAAGTAGGGAATGCCTGGGTCCTAACACACAATAAATATTTGTGAATAAATGAATACATGTGTGTAGGCAAACTATAAAAAGAATTCCCCACAAACCAGTCATGTGCAGACCGCGAAGCATCACATTTTGGGATAGTATTACATTATGGTAAGAATAATTTCCCTTTTAAAATACAGTTGATAATTTTCCATGTAGACAGAATTATTTTTCAGACACAGCAAAACATTTAGAAGTGAAATTTGATTCCATATCAGTTATTCCCTTCTGTAAATCAAAAACAAGAAAAACTGGGGCAACTTCTGCATATCTGTCTTTATGCCTTTACAACAGATTTTAATGCAAATGTTTCAAAATTTGCTAGACCAAGAGAAGAGAAAGAAGAGAACTGGGACAAACAAATTTAGATTTTGCAATGTTTTGCATTGGAATTTATACATAAATATGAATAATATATATTATAACACTGACATTAAAAAACCTAGAATTTTTTTGCAATTAGAATGAATGGTTATAACTGTTTAAAAATTGTATTAATGATTACTCCATGTATACCACTATTACATTGATGGATGAGGAGAAGGCAAAAGGATATGGTCCATCTCTCAGGGAGTATATAATCTATTAAAAAAAAATAGTCCTTTCTTTTTTTCCTTCCTTCTTTCCTTTCTTTCGTGTTAGGGATTGAGCCCAGGAACACTACCATTGAACTATATCCCCAGCTGTTTTTAATGCCTGTTTTTTTGTCTGCCCCTCCCTCCCCCAAACAAAAAAACACCAGACTCCTCCTCAAACCTGAAATCCTCCTACCTCAGCCACCTGAGTAGCTTGGATTACAGGAGAGCACCACAGTCCCTGTGGATAGTTTTACCTGCTACCTGTAATCCCAGCTATACTGGAGGCTAATGCAGGAGTATTGCAAGTTCGAGGATAGCCTGGACAACTTAATAAGACCCCATCTCAAAATAAAATAAAAAAGGCTGGGGATGTGGCTCAGTGGTAGAGGGCCCCTGGTTTAATTCCAAGGGCTGTGGTAGGGGATGAAATCCCACAGTCAAATACATGTGAAATGTGGGGTTGACAGTTTGTTAATTTTTTTATGAGAAATAGAATATAAAGCAGATTTCCAAAATCACAGCCAATCCATTAACTAGACCATTATGACATGCTATATTCTTATAAGAAAATCTCACAGTTCTCTACCTGCTTCAAAAGCTAATCATTGCTGGGCTGGGATGTAGCTAAGTGGTAGGGTTCTTGCCTAGCATGTGATAAAGCCATGTAAAAAGAAACAAAGAACTCTCAAAGATAGTCCTTGCACAGATGAACAAATTAAGGTGATGACCCTGGACCAATTAGCTGAACTCCCTATAGCCCACTTATCATTCTGTTCACAAATAATATATAGATAGATAGCTAATTACATTTGCTTCATTGGGATGCTACTTTTCTGTATTAATTATTGTTGAGAAAAATGCAACCATTTCAAAATTACATATCTTTTTCTAGTATGTACACACACACACACACACACACAGAGGGGATTCTGGGTCTTTTGTTCTCTTGGGGAGGCTCTCTAAATTGGCATCTCTTCTATATTTTATTTCTCCACCGTTTCTTTAGGGTTTCCTTGTGGCTGCAGCCTGGCTCCCTCAAGTTTGTTTGCCAGCTAAAAAGACTAAAGTGGGGAGTCTTACTGTGCTTTCAATTTTGCCTTTTTTCTGAAGTCTATCCCCCCCACAAAGAGGCTGGGTGGGCAGCAGGTGAGCCCCTGGAGGAAGGGGATGGGTGAGATGCCTTCCCTTTGAACTTTCAGGGATTTGCTCCCATTACGACTCACAATGCACCTGCAATACTTAAAGCTTTTCCATTTCTACTAGAAAGCAAATCTGCCTCTTCCAAAGGAGCATAAGTAATCAACACCCTGGTCAGCTCTGTGGGGAATGAGGGGAGAGGAGGGGCCTGGGTGAATAAAACATGGATTGGATGGGAGGCAGCAGGTGGAAGCTCTTTATCCGAATTCTGTTTCTGTATGTTAGTCTCAGCAGTCCTTTAAAGTGATTTTTTTTTAAATAAATCATTGAGAAAATAGTGTTAGAAAATTTTGGGATAGAAAGGAAGGTACTACAAAGGACTCCTTTCCATCACATACCCTATTCCACGCAAAAAAGAAATAAGCAAAATTAGTGAACAATTATGTGTTCCTTCTACATTGTCCTTTTATGCTTGGATAATTATTGACCCAGTTTAGGAATAAAAAGTTATCTAGAATGACTCTCTGGATAGGAGAACAATCAGTCAAACATGTCAGTTAGTGCCTATGCATAGTAAGATAAAGAAAAACGCCTGAGACTGCAAACTTCTCAAGAACTTGTCAATCAGTTTAGTCCTTTACACTTGCTTTTTAGTGTCCTTTGTGTTAGGCTGGTCTTGGTGCTGAGACTGTATATGTCTTCTCTCCCTATCCTCCAAAGCAGGAACCAGCAAAAAAAAAAAAAAAAAAAGAGTCCCAACAGTTTTGGTCTCCCAGCTAGAGCTGCCCCCAAATAGGCAGCTTCACAGAACTCTGCCTGTGATGTACCTACTGTGGACAGTCTACCAACACCAGCAGTCCAGGAAAATGATTGAGATGCTGGGAAACAGGCAATAGGCTAGAACCAACATGGACTTGAAAATGGTTAGAGAGAGAGCCTTGGTCCCTGAAGATAAACAGGGAGGTAAGACAGAGCAAGCAGTGGCACTAAAATAAGAATCACACAAATCACAAATCATACTATATCTGTTTCAGCTGTGGCTTGGGGTGTTCAGGACAGAATCAAAGTGGGCTTTAAAGTTGTATGACTAACTGGAACACAGTTAGCTACACCCATGTAGCTCTCTTACCTCCTCCAAACTCCCAAATTGGATGAATTCCAGTGGCTTCTAGTAAAAGCTGGTGCCTTTCAACATGGGGTTTAACACCACCTGGTCTGATGTCAGGGAAGCTGGATAAGGAGGTGGAGGTTGCTGTGGGCATGACTGTAGTCCCCAACCACAGGGTGAGCCTAGCACACCAGAGATAGTGTGCTTGCCGGCAACAGCACCTGTGGCCCGCACCAGCCTTCTGAGCACAGAAATAATACATCTGACCCACTTGAATCTAATGTATGAAATATGATATGTCAAGAGCTTTGTAATGTTTTGAACAATCAATAAAAAAAAAAGAAATAATACATCTGCTACTTCACTTCTGCCTTCCAAATCTCACAGAAAATGTTTCCTGTGGCCCAGACTATTCCAAAACTATATGGGGAATGGGATTCTGGGAATTGTAGTTCCAACTTAGCTCACATGACAACACAAAACTACCCTGTTCAAGTCATGGCAGAGAGTTCAGTTTAGCAATATTACTATGTTCTTCTTCTTACTTGTCCTTTATATGGATTTGACTCTAGTGTTAGGCAATATATATCGATCAATAATAGGAACTGAACAGATAGCTTATCATTGAACAAGGCAGAGAATATATTAAAAAATGAAAGATTTTATTTTAATTTTTACCCCTAAGCAAGTAAAACAGTTCAGAATGCCCCTTGCAAAACTTAAGGACATCCCTGAATTAACTGGGAACAATTTAGGATAACTTCAGAGCCTTCTTGGGTTTATAATGAACTCAACACATGGGCTTACGTGAGTTATCTTTAGTCAAGAGGAAAGAAAGAAAATAACATGGACCAACAACCATGAACCTTAAACCCAAAATCATAAAGCAGAGATTCTCAATCTCCCATATTGACTTGAAATTGAAGTTTCTTCACACTGGAGTTCACCCTTCATAATGTTCCATGAGCAGCAGGGAATTGTTTATCAAGGAATGATTAATGAGGTCCTTGATAACATGTAGATGCACATAAATAGCTTCTTACATTATAGTCTTCACATAAAACAAATCCACGCAGACAGACCATGTTTCCACAGCATGCCTCCGCCCCCCAGAAGCAGATGCAGAGTTCACACAGCATTGTGCAATTTACTGCGGATTTCTCATTTCAGTCTTTATCTTCTGAGTGGTTATGTGTTTAGGTCAATGATAAGCTTTCACTTATTTTCGGCTCAACCCAAGGGAGTCTAAGATACTCCCTTTTTTTTTTTTTTTTTTTTTGAGAAAAGGGAAAAAAGCAATCTCTGAGATACGGAAAGTGAGAATTTTGTTTGTTTTGTATCCATGCAGACAAGGCATCCCTCAGGGCATTTCTGCATCTCAAAGGGTTTGTGTGTGCTCAGGCGCCTGCCTGCACACCCTGGGGGAGGGTGGCTATAGGGAAAGTGAGCATAGTTCAACGGTGGATCTTGTGTTCTAAGTGGCTACAGAATCCTCAGAAAAGGAAATTAATGTGATCTGCCACATCAATTCCTAGTATTGTGAGATGACAGGTTTGGGAGGTGTTTTGTTTTTTTTTTTAACATCTTTATTTAGCTCACATGACTAGCATATCAACTTTGTTCTGTTGCCATTTTGTGGAAAGAAGGCAGGGATAGCTACTTATAAATTGAGCTTTGAAAGACTCTAGAAATCTTTAAAGGAAAGAGATGTGGGAGGTAATTTTCCTTGCTCATAGCAGAGAATTTATTTAACTGAATGCTATCAGCATTTATTCACTAATCTTCCCTTAACTTCACATGGCTTTGTTTGCATAAGTTTTGACAACTCAGATTCCTAATTATCCTGTCATCAGTGCTATCATTCATTGGGGCTGAAAAACAGATTTCCTTTTTTTTTTTTTTTTTTTTTAATTTTTTAATTTTTTATTGTGGGTTGTTCAAAACATTACAAATTTCTTGACATATCATATTCCACACTTTGATTCTAGTGGGTTATGAACTCCCACCTTCACCCCATACACAGCTTGCAGATTCACATCAGTTACACATCCATTGATTTACATATTGCCATACTAGTGTCTGTTGTGCTCCGCTGCCTTTCCCATCCTCCACCCTCCCCCCTCCCCACCTCTCCCCTCCCCTCCCCTCCTCTCTCTCTACCCCCTCCACTGTATAACCCTGAGGGTCTCCTTCCATTACCGTGCAATTTACCTTCTCTCTCCCTTTCCCTCCCACCTCTCATCCCTGTTAAATGTTAATCTTCTTCTCCTGTTCTTCGTCCCTACTCTGTTCTTAGTTACTTTCCTTATATCAAAGAAGACATTTGGCATTTGTTTTTTAGGGATTGGCTAGCTTCACTTAGCATAATCTGCTCTAATGCCATCCATTTCCCTGTAAATTCTATGATTTTGTCATTTTTTAATGCAGAGTAATACTCCATTGTGTATAAATGCCACATTTTTTTTATCCATTCGTCTATTGAAGGGCATCTAGGTTGGTTCCACAGTCTTGCTATTGTGAACTGTGCTGCTATGAACATCGATGTAGCAGTGTCCCTGTAGCATGCTCTTTTTAGGTCTTTAGGGAATAGACCAAGAAGGGGAATAGCTGGGTCAAATGGTGGCTCCATTCCCAGCTTTCCAAGAAATCTCCATACTGCTTTCCAAATTGGCTGCACCAATCTGCAGTCCCACCAGCAATGTACAAGTGTACCCTTTTCCCCACATCCTCGCCAGCACTTGTTGTTGTTTGACTTCCTAATGGCTGCCAATCTTACTGGAGTGAGATGGTATCTTAGGGTGGTTTTGATTTGCATTTCTCTGACAGCTAGAGATGTTGAGCATTTTTTCATGTACTTGTTGATTGACTGTATGTCCTCCTCTGAGAAGTGTCTGTTCAGGTCCTTGGCCCATTTGTTGATTGGGTTGTTTGTTCTCTTATTGTCTAATTTTTTGAGTTCTTTGTATACTCTGGATATTAGGGCTCTATCTGAAGTGTGAGGAGTAAAGATTTGTTCCCAGGATGTAGGCTCCCTATTTACCTCTCTTATTGTTTCTTTTGCTGAGAAAAAACTTCTTAGTTTGAGTAAGTCCCATTTGTTGATTCTAGTTATTAACTTTTGTGCTATGGGTGTCCTATTGAGGAATTTGGAGCCCGACCCCACCGACTGTAGATCGTAGCCAACTTTTTCTTCTATCAGACGGCGCGTCTCTGATTTGATATCAAGTTCCTTGATCCATTTTGAATTCACTCTTGTGCATGGCGAGAGAAAGGGATTCAGTTTCATTTTGTTGCATATGGATTTCCAGTTTTCCCAGCACCATTTGTTGAAGATGCTATCCTTCCTCCATTGCATGCTTTTAGCCCCTTTATCAAATATAAGATAGTTGTAGTTTTGTGGATTGGTTTCTGTGTCCTCTATTCTGTACCATTGGTCCACACGCCTGTTTTGGTACCAGTACCATGCTGTTTTTGTTACTATTGCTCTGTAGTATAGTTTGAAGTCTGGTATCGCTATACCGCCTGATTCACACTTCTTGCTTAGCATTGTTTTTGCTATTCTGGGTCTTTTATTTTTCCATATGAATTTCATGATTGCTTTCTCTATTTCTACAAGAAATGCCATTGGGATTTTGATTGGCATTGCATTAAACCTATAGAGAACTTTTGGTAATATCGCCATTTTGATGATGTTAGTTCTGCCTATCCATGAACAGGGTATATTTTTCCATCTTCTAAGATCTTCTTCTATTTCTCTCTTTAGGGTTCTGTAGTTTTCATTGTATAAGTCTTTCACCTCTTTTGTTAGGTTGATTCCCAAGTATTTTATTTTTTTTGAAGATATTTTGAATGGAGTGGTTGTCCTCATTTCCATTTCAGAGGATTTGTCGCTGATATACAGGAATGCCTTTGATTTATGCGTGTTGATTTTAAATCCTGCCACTTTGCTGAATTCATTTATTAGCTCTAATAGTTTCTTTGTAGAGCCTTTTGGGTCTGCTAGATATAGAATCATATCATCTGCAAATAGTGATAATTTAATTTCTTCTTTTCCTATTTTTATGCCTTTAATTTCTTTCGTCTGTCTAATTGCTCTGGCCAGTGTTTCGAGAACTATGTTGAAGAGAAGTGGAGAGAGAGGGCATCCCTGTCTTGTTCCAGATTTTAGAGGGAATGCCTTCAGCAGATTTCCTTTTTATATAATCATTTAAAAAAATAGTACAATGCACACTAATTTGAATTATACAAACATTCCCATCCTTTTCTTTTTTAAAAAAAATGTGGGCTTTTAAATTACTTTTTTTTTTTAATAAATGGTTAAAAACCAGGCACAGTGGCACACACCTGTAATCTCAGCTGGGGAGGCTAAGACTGAAGGATCACTTGAGCCCAAGAGTTTGGAGCCAGACTGGGCAACATAGCAAGACTCCCACCTCAAGGGAGAAAAAATGAAAGAAAGAAAAAGCCTCTATCTTAGAGGTAAATTGGACCTTGAGGAGCAATATTGGGTTTGGGGACTGCAGCTTAGGGGTAGAGCATTTACCTAGCATGCGCAAGGCCCTGGGCTCAATCCCCAGCACTGAAGCAAAAAAAAAAAGAAGAAATAGAATTGGAGCATGTGGGAGCTTCAAGGAGCAGAACATGTAGGGTTCCTATTACTCTCAGATCTGCTGACTTTCCCACAATGTGACACATGTAAGTTATTTTCCTGGTAGGCTTCTTTTTTTTTTGGTGGTGGTGGTGGGGTACCAGGGATTGAACTCAGAGGCACTTGACCACTGAGCCACATCCCCAGCCCTATTTGTGTATTTTATTTAAACACAGGGTCTCACTGAGTTGCTTAGCGCCTCGCTAAATTGCTGAGGGTGGCTTTGAACTCTCGATCCTCCTGCCTCAGCCTCCCAAATTGCTGGGGTTACAGCAACTGTGCCTGTGCTACCATGCCTGGCTTGGTGTGCTTCTTTACCATACAGGTTTCACAGTTCCAGAAGAATTAGCTCAGAATTTGGAGTACAGGGCCAGACTTGGCATTCATCAAAGTCTCCTGTAAGTGGTTGTTAGAAAAATTACATTTGGAGGATCAGTGCCCTAGATTTGGAATTGTGGTAAGTTCAAGTTGCCTTCAGGGAAATTCTGATGGTTAATTTTGTGTTA